GCGCCCACGCGCCGCGCGGCGGGTCTCGAACCCGGGTCCCCGAGGCGGGCGCGGCAAGCCGTCCTCCGGTCCTGAGCTCTGGCAGGTGCCGGGGAAGTGGGGGAAAGAAACTTGGCGACCTCTGGGAGGACTTTGCGCAGGACCAGGAGCTTAGGTCCTTGCGGTCCTCGCCCCTCACCCCGGTTTTTCCACGGTGCTGGAATCCAGATGGGGCGCCATCATTTTCATCTTATCTTTGCCTTTAACTGAAAGCTTCTTAACGGGAAGTCGAAAGTGTTAAGTGTCGGGGGAGGTGGCGCTGCCCATTGGAAACCTTGCTTGGGATCCCATATGTCAAAGCAAAGAGCCTTTATTTTAATCAAGTTTGCAAACTCGGTCTCTCAGCATGTCCAACATACTGGAATATCAGAGAGCCCCGAGCTCAATTAGAATATCCCAGCACTTGGGAGGCAGAGGCAGGTGGATCTCTGTGAGTTCGAGGCCAGCCTGGTCTACAAGAGCTAGTTCCAGGACAGGCTCCAAAATCCCAGAGAAACCTATCTCGAAAAAAACCAAAAAAAAAAAAAAGTAGAAGAAGAATAGGGTTTTTATAGTAGTAGAGGTGGGGGTGAGGAGGTCTTTGAGGTTTAGGGCCCTGACATTTATCTAGGGGTGTCCTGTTGAGGTGCGCTGGCAGGTGTCTATCTACAACTCTTGGAATGCCAGGCATTTTCTTTGAATGGTCTGTTCTTGGGTGGGGGTCAGGCAATCTCGGCCTGCCAGGCATTGTCTCAGGGTAAACTATTGAGACTCCAGACTCCATTTGAATTCATCAATGACCAGAGTCTCAGGTGATAATGATTGGCAGTAAAGAACTTCCTTTGGGTGACCTGCCCAGACTTCGTGGCTGGCCCCCACATAGAGAACACAATTCCTGGGCACACGCTGCAGGTTCTACCATTGTCTCTCTGGAAAGATCACTGTGATTCTGCTTTGATTAGTGTCTCCTAAATGGAACCGTGTGAGCGGTGGGAGACAAGCCCCTAGGGGTACGGCTGACTTGACCTCAAACAGGCTAGAGTTACACCCAGAAGCGTGTTCGACTTTGGAACCCAGGTTTTCGTGATCCCAAGTCCCTTGCGTCTTCCGATTCTGCATAAAGCAATTGTGTGGGGGTCAGTTTGGTTGTTCATATTTCTTTCTTTTCTGAAGCGGACTCCGTGCATCTGCCCTGTGTTCTCTCAGTTCTTTAGTAGAAAACTTGGGATCATTCAGTGTATGGTCGTGAAGTGGTTTTTAACCTCTATGCACAACTATGTATATTGTCAAATACGTTACTGACTTCTGTTGCAAAGGCGGAAGATACCTTGAATGAAGTCTTTTTTGAGGCATAACTGACCTATTCTAAAAGCTGAAGCTGCAGTCCCTGACTTTTTGAAAGAGTATTGCCCTAAAGGCTGTTCATAACTTGGACTTTGAACCTGTTCATTTCCTTGATGTGAGAGGAAGGGTAATAGTAATCTTAAACTCAGCGAGGTGGTGGTGGCCATGCCTCTAATCACATCTGGGCTGACAGATCCATGAGCTGAGGCCAATCTGGGTCTAAATAAAGAGTTTGGGGCCAGCCACGGCTGCCTGCATAGGCACCCCAACATTTTGGTGGGGCGATTTCTTGTTTGAAAGGAAACTGTCAAGTAGTAAAAGGTTGCTTTTAGAAAGGCGTGTCTTGATCTTATCAGCACCTTGCTGACTTTGGAACGGTATTTGGTGATGTCAAATAGTGGTTAACGTTTTCATCAGAACCTTGCTCTGCCCCCTATGAGTTAAGCTTCTGTGAGACAAGGTCAGGTGAGCCAATGGCCAGACACTTTCGAAAGTTTATTTGATCGCTCACAATTTTGTTAATTAGGACTAGAAAGTTTTTAAGGCAGTAAAACCATAAGTAACACTTGAAAGTAAACATTTCTGAACATTCTCGGCTCAGGTGATTGAAGACCGAGTGGTAGGAAATATCTGTGCCTTTTGAAGGCACTGGAGTTTTTTCAAACCATATAATTTAATTTATTATGGCATTGACAAGAATCTATGAGTTGAACATCTGAGGATTCCTTTTATTATATGATATACATTGAAAGAACGTCTTGCCATGAAGCTTAGAAATGATCTTTTCATAGGCTAGACCCAAGCTCATACTTCTTTCTATTTCTTTTCTTTCCTTTCCTTTTCTTTCTTTAAAGGGAAATCTTGACGGGCAGAAACAGAACTGGGAAGTAACATGCTTTAAACTGCCAGACAGCTAACCTGAACTTGTAGGCCATAGTTTCAGTAGTTTACACCAAGCATTAGCTCCTTCTGTTCTGAGAATGGGAGTTAGTGTATTTATTTAGCATTTGCCTTTGGAAAACATAAAGACTGGCAAGAGAGCCAGGGCTTTGGTCTGTGTCCTTGCTGTCTCGGGGTTTCTACTGCTGTGGTAAGCATCTCAGCGTAGCCTGCCTGAGCAGCAGTGCTACACTTGGTGAGCTAGGCCCTCCCACATCAGCCATCAGTCAAGAACAGGCACCATAGTCTTGCCCACAGGCCCGACTCGTGTAGGCGTGTCTTAGGTTCCCTTTCAGCTCAAGGGTTATTTTGGTCTGTAGACCTTCAAGGGTCAGCAAATAATTTTTTTTTAGATTTGTTCATTTTATTTTACCTGTGTTTCGCCTATGTTATTCTCAAATCCGTGGGTCCCCACAAAAGCCAAAAAAGGAGACCAAGTCCCATATGTAAAAGCAAAGAGCCTTTATTTTAATCAAGTTTGCAAACTTGGTCTCTCCGCATGTCCAACGTATTGGAATATCTGGAGAGCCCCGAGCTCAATTAGAATAGGGTTTTATAGTAGTAAAGGTGGGGTGAGGGGTTTCTGAGGTTTTAAGACCCCTGATTGTCTGACATTGGTCTAGGATTTCCTGGTGACTTTGAGCTGGCAGGTGTTTCTATCTACAGTGCTTGGAATGCCAGGAATTTCCTTTGAATGGTCTGTTCTTGGGTGGGGGTCGGATGATCTCAGCTTGTGGTTCCTCCTGCAGCCTGGCATCATCTCAGTAAAAAATTGAGAATCCAGCCTCCTTTGAAATTCATCTATGGCCAGAGTCCTGGGTGATAATGGTTGGAGGAAGTAAAAAATCTTCCTTTGGGTGACCTGCCCAGACTTAGACTATCATGGCTGGCCCTCACAGCCTACATGTATGTTTGTACACTACCACCACATGTGTGTTTGGTGCCTATGAAGGTCAGTAGAGGCCACTGGATCCCCTGGAACTGGAGTTACAGATGGTTGTGAGCCGCCACATGGGTGCTAGAAATTGAATCCGGGACCTTTGCAAGGGCATCAGGTGCTATTAACTGCTGAGCCCTGTACTTGTGACTCATACTTTTTGCTTTATATATATTTTTCTGAATATAGGATATGAAGTTATAAAAGAGATCCAGTATTTAAAAATAGATTTATCTTTTTACTAAATAAAACTGAACAGTTATTCAAGTATTTTATTTAATTTTTATATGTGCATGTAATGTGTTTTGATCAAATCTACACCCCTGCTCTCCAACCTCCTCCTTTTCCTCCAATTTCACGTACTCTCTCTTAATATTTACTTATTCTTCTGCATGTGTTTTGCCTGCCTGTATGTCTATAAACCATGTGTATGCCTGATGCCCATAGAGGCCAGATGAGGGTATCAGATCCCCTGGAACTGGAGTTATAGGTGTTTGGGGGAGACGGTGTGGGTGCTGGGAGTTGAAAGTGGGCCTCCTGGAAAGCAGCCGTTGCTCTTATCCACTGAGCCATTTCTCAAGCCCTCCATCCACGTCTTTTAAAATAACTTGATCCATTTGGTTCTATGTACATGTGCATGGGTATTGGACCTATTTCCCTAGATTGGGTAGCCTCGCAGGGCTTCCATCTCTGAAGAAAATGGACCCTCTCAGTAGCTCTCGGTTGCCAGTAGTTCCTCACTTAGAGATGGGACTTCACAATCCACCTTGGGTTTTTGGTGGGCTTCATCTTGTACATGTCCTCCCTGTGGCTCTCACAGTGTTTCTGCATACACCCTTCCTCATTGTTCCCTCAGCATTGGGGTTGGGGAGTGGTATAGATTGTTCCATGCCAACGTCAGAGCATCTGCACGCTGACTGGTTGGAGGTCTCCGTATTAATCACCATCTCCTGCAAAAGCATCTTCTCTGGTGAGTGTGGGGAGTTTCGCAGATCACTGAGTGTGAAGCTAAGGATGCAAGGGGCAGTTTATTACTATGTTCGTTTAGCAGAATAGTAATGTTAGGTCCTCTTCTAGAGCCTTTCGCCCAGAAGCCACATGTTTTTGTCCCAGTTATCAGTATCAGATATAGGATCCATATTGTGGAACAGGCTTTATATGCAATCAAAAATTGGTTGACTACACCCATAATGTTCATGCCACCTTCATACCTGTAGGTGTGTTTCGTCAGGCCAGTTGTAGATCTTTCGTCAGGCCAGCTGGGCAGGATGTCTTTCCCCCCCTCTAGCACACATAAACCCTTCTGACACCCTGGAAACTGGATGTAGCTGGCAAGTAGGGATACAGCTTCCAGGCCATTGCCAGTAGATTTTTCTATGCTCTGTGTGTCAGGTCTGTGGTGTTTTCAGCAGTAGGGTCTTACTGTCAGCTTCCGCAGGATGACCAAGAGCTATGATAATAGCCTATAATGTGGGGGGTTGAGTCTGTAGGAACTCATGGACCAATATCTCAGAAAAAGATAGCATTCTTGGCTCTGGGTTTTTTATTTGATACACTGGGACATCGGAGGATGTTGTCCCTTCCCACTCCTTGTGTATTGTTGGGTGACTCCTTTAAGCCCCTTTGTGTGTATGTGTGCTTTCTAGGAAGCCCCCACAAAACTCTTCTACCCTGGCTTCCCAAGAGCCACCCCAATTAGTCTTTCCTTTTCCATTACTCCTCCTTTCCCCTTCATACCACCATTGTTCTGGCCCCTTCCTGAGACCCTGCTCCTCTCATGTCCCCTTACCCTCTCCTCCCTTCTGTGGTCTTCAGTTTAAACACATCTATCTAAAGATTCAAAGCTAGCATCCTCAAATGAGAGAGAACAAATATCTGGCATTTGTCCTTCCCAGTCTGGGTTACCTCAAAATAATCATTTCTAGCTTCATTTATACCTGTAAATTTTAAAAATTC